CATGGATGAATATCATCATTTTCAATCAATTCAACAGTCATTGTTTTATCAATCGGTGCAATTAAATATATTACACATTTTGTATTGAACATTTCGGTTGATACATAAACCGAATATGTACCTTGTGTACTTAATTCAATCAATCCGTCTTGTGGTTCAATAATATTCAATAATTTTTTATCATCATTTGTTAATGCATATTCAACATAAGAGTCAAATATGATGATTATCATTATCATCAATGTCCATTGATTCTGTATCATGTTTTAAATTGTGATTGGAAAATTATTTATGAATGAAAAAAAAACTAACAAAAGAAAAACACACCAAAATTCAATTCAAAAAAAAACTATTACAATTTAAAACTGTTAAAAAATTATTAATCAGAATTCAAAAAATTAGTGGACTAAATTAAATTTGCAACAATTTCAGCATATTGTTAGTTTTTAGAACTATTGTTCGTTATTGAAACGATCTTTTCAAAATACATCTTTGATTGTTTCAATACATTATTCGCTAACCCTGTTACTGTTTATGAGATATTGTTATATCTAAGTCGAAAAAAATAACTAAGTAAAACTAAAGTGCGTCCAATTTCCGTAAACAAGTTCCGTAAAGAATTCATGCGAAAAAAAATGCGAACATCTAAGATCTTTGTAGAGAGAATGACGACAAACGAGAACTCGGTAATGCTAAACCCAAGTCTAGTGGCCATATTTTAATTGTACAATTTTATTATGATATTTTTTCTAATTTTAAAATAAAAAATTGATATGCTTTACTCTGATTAATTGAATGAATGTTTCATTAATTGTTTTTAACCATGAAATGTTGAACTTTAGTTCATTTTGTCACACACACCATATATAAATACTGCAGTCGATTGTTGTAAACAAACACAATGTTGTCTTCGTCTAAACATAATCATCGTCATTTTTTTAATAGTAGATTGCATTCCTTTTCTTTTTTTTTCGTGCAATTGATCAAATTATGGCTTCCATCGTCAAGAATTTCAAAGCATGGAAAATCTCTTTATATGGACTTCTGGCGCAAAACAATCTCCATCGTTTATTCCGGAGCGACTTCGATCCGTCAACACTGACTGAACAGGAAACGGCAAAAGCCGTAGGGTTGATTATATCGACACTCGATTCTCAAGTCGTTGCGAAATTGTCAGATAACCTATTAGACAAACCAAAAGAAATTCTAAATTTCTTGACCGACGCATATGGAAAATCTGACGCCAGTTATTTATCCTTGATCATCACATTGTACAACCTAAAACTGGAAAGTATTGAAAACACGGAAGCTTTTCTCGAAGAAAGTAAAAATTTGTACAATGATATTAACAATATAGCGTCGAATGATGATAAACTAAGTGAAAAGGTGTTCGTTTCACTTATCCTGGCAAAAGTTAAAGATAAATTTCGATTCATCAACGATTTAGAATTAAATCCTAATGCAATCATCAATATGACGACAATCTTTGCAAAGATGATCTCTGAATCAAGATCTTTTATCGTAATAAACCATCGATCCTCTGATTCAAATTATTCATTAAATGGTATCTCACATCATAATAAACAAAGAAATTTATTCTGCAAATACTGCAAAAGAAACAATCATGTCATTAAAGATTGTTTTCTTCGTCAAAAAGCTAATCAAAAATAAATCATTATCATCGTCGTCATCATCATCATCAACAAATCCGTCATCATCAAATCCATCATCGGCTTCATCATCATCAAATAATGATCGATTTAAAAGAGTTTCGAGCGCCACCTTATCAATGAATTCTTTATCAACATAATTAGCCAAAAGACAATCAACGTCAAATTAAAATATATCAATGATTGTATTAATATAATGGTTTAATCAAAATTACATTTATCGGAACCAAAGGACCAATTAGCCGATCCTTATATAAAAAGGAAATAAATAGTCTTTTGTTGTTGTTATTCTTACACCAGTTCGAACATCATAATCAGCATTAAGAAAAAATAATAAACCTTTTTTCTTAATTGAACGTTTTTTTAATTTTGGTTTTGTCCATTTAGGTCGTTGACATAAACGATAATATGGTATATGTTCGCCGAATGGCATTGTCGGTGATGATTGTACACTGTGTATTGGTTTTAATTTAAATTCTAAATGATTTATAAATTGTCCACTTGACATCATACGTACAGCCATATTACGACAATATCTAACTAAATATTGTACTGAAAATTTTTGATTGAAAATGAAAATTGGAATTGGAATTTGTTTTTTTGTTTTTACTAAAATAATACTTACCTGGATATTCATCTGAATCAAAACAAAATTCAAAGCCTTTTTTCATTAATAAACTGGAAAAATCAATACGATTATCACCATAAAATTTTATATAATCTTTACTTTTCATTGATGAACACTTTTGTAAACAAAAAAGAGAAAAAAAATTAAATTATACATGAAAGTGTGTTATTCACTTACCATAGCTTTATCCGCTATACAAGTATCAAATTGATCTTTTACTTGTAAATTAGTAATCTGAAATACCATACCAGTAAGTGATTGTTTATCCCATGGAAAATCAACAATAAGTATTGTACAAACTCTGGATGATTTTACTGTTTCCATTACATATGTTTGTCCAATTACTGTATGGTCACGTGCACGTATAATACGATTACAGGCTATTTTTTATAGAAAAAATTATCATTTTTTACTTTAAAAAATAAAATTTTCTCACAAAACTTACGTTCAGGAGTTTCGATAAATTTGGCACGTAAACGAAATCCCCTACCGCTTTGTTTGATACGATAAAAAATTTGTACAATATTCTGTTGTGA